CATCCGATCTGTGTCGTACGGTTTTTATCGGTCTTTGTTCGACCTTTGTTCTCTGTTGATTTCCCTATGATTTTTAGTGGTTGTGTGGTTCTGACGTACGGGCTCATACGGAGCTCCCAATTAATCATCTTCGACCCTGATTTTTGATTGGTACCGGTTGTGTACATCTGTCCAAGTTATTGCTGGGTACTCGATCAAATTTTGTTTTAACCGATGTGATACTGTCGAACTTAACCCGTTCAGTCCTTGGGTGAAAGCTTGTACGGCCCAATCATCTGTGACCGGTGGCAAGTCCATATGTTCCATTTGAAATCGGGATACGAATTCCCTCAGCATTTCGTTACCCCTTTGTTTTACTTTGAAGAGGTCTGATTTTTTTATTGCAACCTTTATGGCACCAGCATGTGCTTTTACGAACGAATATGCTAACATGGCAAAAGAATCAATGGAATTTGGTGGTAAGTTGTGATACCAGATCATTGCTCCCTTTGCTAGGGTCTCTCTGAACTTTTTCAACAACACGGATTCGATCTCATTATCCTCCAAATCGTTGCCTTTGATGGCACATGTGTAGGAGGTGACGTGTTCGTTAGGATCGGTCGTGCCGTTATATTTGAGAATTTCGGGCATACAAAATTTTTTGGGGATTGGTTTTGGGGCCGCGCTCGAGGGAAAAGGCTTTTGTATGAATTTTTTCGAATCGAGCCCTTTTATCATTGGCGGAGCCCCCGAGATTTGATCGACCCTAGCGTTATACGTTTCCTTTTTTTTTTGTCGTTGGCTTTGACTCATTTTGTGAGTTCCTCGAGCAATTTAGCAATTTCAGGAGCGGTCCCCGATTCCTGCTCGTTTGATTTCACTACGGCGGGCTTCGTTCTGGGGGTGACTTCTCGAAGAAGCGGGTTGGAGTTCGGCCCGCTTTGCATATGAGTTCGGCTCTGCAACTGAGCTATAGCTGCTTGTTGGGCTTGTAATATTTTGAAAATCATACGCAAGCTGACCTCGATTTTTCCCGTGTTATAGGTGTCTCGGGCTATGGGTCGAGCACCGCCCTGAACGCTTCTTTCCGATTTAGAATGCTGATTCGCTTCTAGAGCTATTTGTGAATTGATATCCAATGGTACTTCGGCTCAAATTTCGGGTTCTTCGGTTCGAGCCTCGTTGCCGTCGTCAGGTAGCCTTCCGGCCCCGGGCGCCAAGTTGTTGGTTTCATCTTGAAGGCCGGCTTCGAGGTCGATAGGTAGAGCCATTGCTGATTTGAAGTTATAAGCTGGAGTGTACTGCAGATTTATATCAAACAATCACTGTTACCCTTAGCCCCACAATGGGCGCCAAACCGTTTACCCGAAAAATTAGATAACGTTAAATTTAGATATGGTTCTAAGGGTATGCAAATTTCTTTGATACAAAATGACAATACATGTATTTTTGCTATAAAATGGGAGTGATGGACGAGAAGACTGAAATGAGTTAGAAAAACAAGCATAATGAAATTTTAATGTATCTTGGAGGACCTGCGTCTATTGCATTCTATCCCCCTTTTATAGTAGAGGGTCATTGCTTTATCTATAACAACATAATAAAATAATACATATAGTGGAGGACCCTTGATGATTTGTCTCTTCCTTGATTCTCACCAAGATTCTCTCCCTCGGTGCGGTTGTAACTGCTCTTGTCTGCGAGCTTGTCACTGGCTCGAGCTCGGTGTTAGATCGAACCCCCAGTCTTGGTTCGAGCTCGGTTCTGCCTTGGGGCATCGATATTCGGGGCCTGTGTCGATCGGTGTTACCCCGTAGTCCTATTCGGACACGGGCTCGATAATGATATCGAGTTTTGCCGTTGATTGGTCTTATAGCTCGAAGCTCGACGCCCCTACTTCGAAATTCGTCCGAGCTTGTCATGTGGATACCCTTCGATTGGAACGTCATTGTCTTGATCGGTCTTTATGACTGAGAATCGGTTTTGACCATACACAATATTAACTTTTATTTTAATCTTATAAATATTGTCGGCTTCTTAGTTTTGCTTAAGTTCGGATTCTCTTCACTTTCGCAAATTCATTACCACCTGAAATTATATCATATTGATTATGATTGGTAGAGAATCATATGCCTTATCATTTTAAAAACGCTACTTTAACTTTAGAGCTATTAATAATGATTAATTAACTCAAGCACTTCTAAAAAGTATACACTTCAAAGAAATTCCAAAGCAAGCAGGGACGGAGTTAGTATATAAGTTATATGTTCGATCGAACTCAGTAACTTTTGGTTCGAACCTTAATATGTGTATAAAAATTTTACTAAGGAACTGCTTTTTCCTCTTCTTTGTTACCCCTGTATCGAATGATGGGATCAAAAGGTAAATTTTCTTAGCAATTCAAGAAAATCTTGAGGCATGTATTTATTTTAGTGTCTCGTAATATTTTCTTATAATTATGATGATCCATATGAGAAGAAATTATCCCGTTTTAATTTATGTAAACCTATTTCCTTTTTGGTCCGTTCCAAAAAGAATGATCCATTTCTAAATTTAGAAATAATTTTGCTTAAACTTACAATTCTATCCTTAATGAGAAGCTTTTATAAGCACACAAATACTCTGAGCCATTTTTGAATTGTTTAGGGCCACAAATTCCAAAAGTCTTCATTTTTTTTTTTAAACTTCGTGCCCAGACAAACAGGTTCACATAAATTGAAATGGAGAGAGTAGTATTTTTATGTCAACTGAGATCTCAACCCGAGATCTCATGGTTCTAAATATATATATATATATTGTGTGTGTATATATATATATATATCATATATTTAATACGTAGAATAATTATTTTTTTGTGAGGAAAAACATCAAGCTATTTTGGGGGTTACAGTATAATTTATTGAAAGTTTCGGCGTTGACGTGTACTTCTTAACAGCTGGGTAACTACTGGATTTCTATCAGATAGATTTTTATTGCTCACGCGCTTTAATGTACGTGAAGCTCACAGTTTATTTATAAAGGGTAAATTGGGATTTGCACAGCACCATAATTTAAGGGGAGGGGCAAACTGAAAAATTGTGTCTTTTTCTGAATTTCAGGTTTGGAATTGGATTTCATCCATTTATGAATCACATGGTTTTACAACTTTACATCATTGGCATGAAAAGAAAAATATTTAAAATTTGAAAGAGACACTATCTTTACTCTCTTTAAATAAACAAGAATAAGAGCAAGAGGTCGTCCATAAAGTTAGAGTATATAAATAACTTTTTCGAAGAAGTTTAAGGGGCAACTTATATTTTTTCTAAAATTTATATTACTAAAATTAGCATAAATGCATAGCTTATTCAGAAATTTATATATTATTTTATATGATATAAAATAATGGAATAAATGCGTATACCATCAAGATGTGAGGTAATATATTTTTTGAAGTACATACTCTTTACATGACAATCCATGTGTCATTAGTCAACATATAACATTTTATATAATATCATTCGCCCATAATAATTCTTAGACTATCATTATACAATAATTTATGTAGTATCAATGTTTTAAAAGGCAAAATTGAGACTTTTTTCTAGATAATGCACTCGTAAAATCCCCTAAGATAGACATGTCAGACTCGTGTCTCATAGGACTTACGGCTTAAGCGTCCGAACGTATGCTAAGATATGACCAATATCCAACACACAAGGTCTATCTCACATGCAATCGTATGTAATTAGCCTTATAGATCCTCAAAAGTCATTTCGTAATTCGAATTACTCTTCAAAACCTCTTCATTGATTATAACTTAGAAGTTGAGGATGTAGCAACTAAAAATAAGTGACTAATATCACATATTTTCAATGTTGATAAAAGTGATTTTGATGGACAATTCATCTGGAAAATTTTCATCTCTTAACTTTTGTTAAATCTTCATAATTGAATTTTTCATATGTTTCTTTTCAAATCTTGGCGACCTTATCTAATTTATTATTGAGTTTAGCTCATATGCATGGATGGAGTAAAATTTTTATGAGTCACATAAAAAATATCTACATGACTCCATAAAAAATAAAATTTATAATTTTTAAAATAAAATATGTCCGTGATTTAACAAGTAAATATGACACGATAATATATAATTTTTTTATAATATTAATATGTAAAGTTTAAACTCTTTATTATTAGTATGCTACTTACACGCTTCTTTTTTTTGTGTAACTCCTAATCTTGGTCAGACTTGTGAGAGAAAATACCTCAAATATATAAAAAGGAATCGTAACGGCTAACAAATATAGAATAAAAAATATCGTACTAATATCTAATCCTTACTGTATGTACATAATGACGGAGCCAGAATTTTGATCAAAAGGTATCAAAATATAAATAATTAGATATATTGAAAAGTCAAGGGAAGTCAATATATTATAATATAATAAAATAAAAAAAATTATCTAACAATATAGTATAAATTTTCAACGAAGAGGCGTCGCTTAATACCCTTGATTCAATGTCGCTCCGTCACTGCATGCACACCATAAAAGATAAACTGATTCTTTTACTAGTAAACAAAATAGACGAATAGTTAATGCAAGTACTTCACATTCACATATAATAACATATACTCCAATACTATCACGTATAATACAGTGAGGGTCTATTGGAAACATATTTTTATCTCCATAACCTAGACGTAAGGTTTTGCTTACACGCTACCTTTCCAAGATCTCACTATATAAAATTATACTGGCTATATTATTATTATTATTACCACTTATAAATTATAATATGATGTATAAGATCCTTAACACTTAATCAAGACCGCATGTTCAAATTTTAGAAATGAGAATTCGTTTAGTAAAAAACAATTTTCTTTTAATGAGCACTATATAATAAGATTCCTGACCACAATGAAAATATCGAAAAATTAAAAAATATAAGTGTGCATTATCCAAAGGTAGCTGCTGAAAGTATTCCTGGAAAATTTTCAAAAACAAATGAAAAATAAAAACTACAGTACATAAGAAGCTGTATTTTTCCTGCTGTTGAAGCGTCACTGCTCACTCCCTCCCTTTTCTTCCACACAGAGATAGAGAAAGAGAAAGAGAAAGAAAGAGAGAACCATTGAACCAACCACCATTGAAGTCCGAGCTTAATGCCCGTAGATCCGTCGGCATTGGAGCATTTTAGCCCCACCCACTTACCCTAAAGGATTTCATTCACTCTTTTCTTCCTCACTATACTCTCTATCCTCTCTCTCTTTAGTTAATAAAAAGTAAAATCCATTTGTGTCCTTTATTGTTGCTGTTCTTGTTATTGTCCTTTTAGTACCTTTCTTTGTACCCACTTCACACCCCTCTTTTAAAGTCTATTTTTGTGAAGTAAAAGCATAAAGGAGCCAAGAAACAAGAACATTTAAAAAAAAAACCAAGTCTAAAGTTGTAGTTTTGTAGCAAATTTGAGGCTGTGAGTGTAAGGAAGCTTCAGATCTGAAGATGGACAAGAACAAGTGTTGTTGCTGCTACTGCTTTCTTGGTCCTTTCTTTTTTGGTCGTTGACTTGAAGGACTGAAAGTAGAAACTAGTCAGCTATTTTTGGAGTTTTTTGAGAAGCTTTCTTGAGGGACAAATTTTTCAAGAATCAGCTTTTTTTAGGCTGTTGTGTGGCTTTTGCTAGAGAAAGATAAGAGGGGTATTGATATAATCATTGGTTAATAGTAAAAATGCTGGCTTTTGGAAGTCCTAATTGTAACAATATTGGGTTTACAAGCTCTAGTTGCCACACTTTACGTAGAGAACTGCAGGTCTCTTTTCTCTCTCTCTCTCTCTCTCTCTGTTTTTCTTCACTTTACTAATTTACTGTTCAAGTTTTGTTTTTTTGTCTTTCTTGTATCTTGGTCTGAAGCCTGAAAATCCTTGGGACTGAATGTTCTGTATAGGGGAAGTTTGTTTATAGTTCTTGAATTTTGTTTTTCATGGTCCTTATAGAAAACTAATTTACTTTTCTTGGTTTTTTTCTCTTCAGTTTTCTTTGATTTTGGAAAAAGATTGGACCTTTTACCTGATTTTGAGGTGGGGTTATGCTCAGTGGTGAATAATCTGGAGTTAACTCTATATTGGGTAGTCTATGCTTTAAGAAAACTATTTACTTTGTGTTTGTTTAATGATTTGGTAGTAATCATGGCTTGTCAAGTAAATTGAAGTAGTTGGTTTTGTTTTTGAGTTTTAAGTAAGTTAAAGTCTAATGGCTTTTATGTGATATGATGGTGTATGGATCATGAAATCCAGGTTTGCTTATATTGACTTATTCTGGGATGTCTTTGTTTTTTTTTATCTCACAGTAGTCCATAAATGCTTCGTTCAAGTTTGATTTTTCAACTGGAATTTTACAATAGTAGAAAAGATAACGGTAAAGTTGTCTTCCGTATTGACCTATAGGTTACGGGTTCGAGCCGTGGAATTAGCCACTGATACTTGCGTCATGTAAGCTGCCTACAACACACCCGTGTGGGTTGGGGCACTTCCCTGGACCCTGTGTGAACGCATGGTGCTTCGTGCACTGTGCTGCCCTTTTAGTAGACCCTTTAGTAGAGAAGATAACATTTTGAGTCCAAGATTTCATGTAGTTCCTGCATAGGATTCTGGTTGAATAAGATGCGGAGAAGGGCTTGTACTGCTCGCCTTTAATTGATATGTTCATTCAGTACGGATATAGCCCACAACATAAAATTAGCCTTATGAATTCAATCTTAAGTAGGGGACATAGCCCACCTAACAATTTTTAAAGGGATTTCTGGCTTCTGGGAGGGAAAAGAAGCAAGTAGTGTTTCCTGTTTTCCATGTATGTGAGAGAATGCATAACATTGGTCCTTGAGCTGTGTAATCTGTATTGACTCGGTATTGCTGTGATGTCCAGCAAATATGGACCGATATTGGAGAGAGTGAATCTGATAAAGACCGTATGCTGTTGGAGCTGGAAAGAGAGTGTATGGAAGTCTACCGAAGAAAAGTTGAAGAAGCGGCCAATGCAAAAGCACGTCTTCATCAATCTGTTGCAGCTAAAGAAGCTGAGCTCGCTACCTTAATGGCTGCTCTTGGCGAACTCAACATTAATTCACCGGTATTGAACACTTCTCTCTAAGTGCGGAAGCTTTTATCATAAATGATTTATCTTCCAAACCCCTCTTCTCCCCCTTGTGTATATTTTTCCTTTCATATGGTACTAGTACTGCTTCTTCTTCTTGGTAGGGTACTTACTTTCATCAAATCCCCCAAATATCTATAAACTGATTTCTTGCTTGTAGCCTTATTTTTGGCGATACCCCAGCTCGTGCAAAATGGATATAGTAGATGCTATTGTTACTTTTGCCGTATGGCTCAGAAGTTCTTCTGGGCTGTTATGTTGTATCTTTTCTTAAGCAGTTAGCGTGATTGAACAGCCTATGGTTTCTAAATCAAGGGCAGATCTTCCCAATAACAGGGATCTCAAATTGAGATGATATTACCTTATTAATAAAGAATCTTCTGAATATCAGTGGATCTCGTAAATGGGAACTGCAGAAGTTTTGTTGGTGTGAAAATGTATAGGATGATCCATCTCATGATTTCTTATTTTCCAAAATGAAAATATTGTTTTGGAACCAAACAACTTCAGTTTTGATTTTTGAAAAACTTTCTGGAATCCTTTTGAACAACTGATCCTATTTTTTGCTTGTTAATTCTGCTTTTCTGGTCATAACAGATACAGTCAGAGAAAAAATCAGCTCCACTGAAGGAGCAGCTTGGGTTAATCATGCCTCTTGTAGATGATTTAAAAGCTAAGAAAGATGAAAGAGTTAAGCAGTTCGGAGATATAAAGGCGCAAATTGAGAAAATAACTGGTGAGATTTCAGGGTGTTGTAATATTGTCAATTCTCTGAGTAGCTTAAACTTGGAAGAACATGACTTGTCAATGAGAAAGCTCTCGGAATGCCAATCCCATCTACTTGCTCTCCAAAAGGAGAAGGTATGCATGGCCTATAATGTGTTTCGTTCATATCTTGTTTGCATGGTTATTTTTTAATATTTTTTAAGAATCCGATTACAATTTTTCGAAGGCCACTGACTTAACCATCATGAATGGTGCATTTTTTGGCGGTTGTCTTTCTTTTAGCTAATTAAATAATAGATGATTTTTCTGCATGCAGTCTGTGCGGATCCAAAGAGTTCTGTACAGTGTGAATGAGGTTCACACTTTGTGCGGTGTACTTGGGCTGGATTTTAGCAAAACTGTAAGTAATGTGCATCCAAGCTTGCATGAGACAAACCCTGGACAATACACAAACATCAGTGACAGCACATCGGAAGGTCTAGACCAGGCCATCCTTGGATTGAAAACAGAACGAAAAGTTCGATATCAGAAGGTATTATGTTCCTAGGTACTGTACTGTCTTTTATGTCCTCCCTATCTAATCACATCAATAATGCAGCTAAAGGATGTGGTGGGATCGCTGTTTGAGCTTTGGAACTTGATGGATACAATGAGAGAAGAAAGGAGTAAGTTATCAAGGATCATTTCTGTTCTTGATATTTCTGAATCAGAGGTCGTGGAGCCTGGTGTGCTTTCATTAGAGGTTATTCAACAGGTCAGCAAGCACTTCCTACCTCTTTTAATTTTTCCCTAACTCTTGCGCTGTTGCTTTTTTTTTTTTTGGGTTAAGTTTCATTTCCACCCTCATTGCTCTTCTCCTCAAGTGATTTGGCACAGAGAATGATTCCAATGTGAGCGATTATTGAGGAAGAGAGTGCATATACTAGTTTACTGGGCTGATTTTGTAGTAATGCAACCACTAATATGTGCATATATACATATGTACTAAATGGCAAATATGCTCAAGTAGTGATCATTTGAGGTTGATGAATTCTCAGGCTGACGGTAGAAATTTGATTTTGTCTATTACATTGGTTTGACATTGATAGGTATCAGCAGAAGTTGAGAGGCTGAACAAATTGAAAGCAAGCAGGATGAAGGAGTTGGTCATGAAAAGGAGGGCAGAATTGGAGGACTTGTGCTACAAAACCCATATTCAACCTGATCAAAGTACTGCTGCTGATAAATCCAGTGCAATGATCGACTCTGGTAAGTCGTCTAATCTTGGATTCATTAAAGGCTCTGTTCATCGGAACTTCAATGCACAGAAATGAATCCAATCTCCATTTGAAGGTCTTGTGGACCCTTGTGAACTCCTAGCAAATATTGAAGCACAAATAAACAACGTGAAGGATGAAGCTTTAAGCCGAAAAGAAATTATGGATAGGATAGAGCGGTGGCTTTCAGCATGTGATGAGGAAAACTGGCTTGAAGATTATAACCGGGTACGTAAAAGCTAAGTAATTGATTTCTTGTAGCCAATGATATTAGCTGATCTAAAATCTCCATTCCCTACTGATCGACTCTTCTAGTACGTTTTATTTTTATTGTTGACAAAAAATTTTCATCGGCAAAAGTTTGATTAGTTTTTGATTATCAGGATCATACACGTTACAGTGGTGGAAGAGGTGCTCACATAAATCTAAAGCGGGCAGAACGAGCAAGAATTACAGTGACTAAGATTCCAGGTATTCTACTCTAGCTCTTTCATTGGTGTCATATAATCCTGGCTCATTAGCATAAATGGAACTCAATGTCTTTTTATACTCAGGTATGGTTGACAGTTTGATTAACAAGACACTAGCTTGGGAAGATGAGAAACAGAAGTTGTTTCTGTACGATGGGGTGAGTTCCTTTGCAGCTACATGTTGCTAGATTGTTTCTATTGTTGCTACTGTTAGTCAACTGAACTTGGTTTACTTGTAGGTGAGATTGGTGTCAATATTGGAGGATTACAAAGTTAGTCGACATCAGAAAGAAGAGGAGAAGAAACGGGCTCGGGTATTTTCAAATACCCCCATATACTAATAAATGCTGATTTGGTAGATGAAGCGTATGTATGTAAGGGAATGCACAATATCAAAAACTCACTGAAATGCTATTATCTTTTCTTTTACACAGGATCAGAAGAAACTCCAAGATATGCTGCTGGCAGAGAAGGAATCTATATATGGTTCTAGACCTAGTCCGAGAAGAAGCAGCAGCTTTAGGAAAACGAATGGATACCATGCAAATGGAAATGGGTCAGTCACCCCCTCGCCACGCCGGAACTCAGTTGGTTGTGCAACTCCAGAGCTTTCAACACCCCGTTCCTACTCTGGGCGGCAGAATACCTATTTCAAGGAAATGAGAAGACTATCTACTGCCCCTCTCAACTTTGTGGCTATAGCAAAGGAAGATACAATGTCATTTTCTTCTATTGGAGGTTCTGAGCCAGAATCCCCACCTCAAGGCTGAATTCACAACTTGAGTAGGTAAGTTTTTCCCTTTGTTTGCTGTACTTTAGTGAACTTTGGAAATTTTAACATGTCAAAATTTGCTATGAAACTTTGGTACTTCAAGATTTTCTTTTGAGATGTTTGAGGATAAGAATCATCTCCTTGAAAAGCCTCTTTCGCTTTTTCTCGGTAATCTCCCCACAGCTACCATCAGACAGCACTATTGATTCACAAATCAGTATTTAAATGTTTATACGCAACTTTTTGATAACTTGAGCAAACAATTAGTTAGCAATCCTGTCACCGTTTTTCCGTTCCTGTTATTATGCTGTAATGTCCTTATTAGTTTAAAGTGGTTACAAACTGTATTGAAATTTTATTACTTGTTAAGTATTTCAGGCTCATGTCACTTGCTCCTCATAATGTATATAAATGTCTTTGCAGGGAGATGATCTCGTAATCTTCCTAATTCCAAGGCAACATAACAGAAGAAGGATATACCTCAGAACATGTGAATACTGAAGGGAGTGTACACTACTGTAATGCTGTAAAGTGTTAGGCAGTTCTAGCACTTAGTGACTTTTTTTGCTAGTGACTTTGCTGGTTACTATAGAGATTGTTGTGGATATATTAGTGATAATGAAGTTGTCTGCTTAAATAGAAGTTCACTGACCAATATGTACCTTGAATATTTTCTTTTTGTTAGTCATTTGCATGTACATATAGTGGAATGTGATTGCTATGATTTAATTAGGAACTCTTCTTTATTTGGATTGTGTAATTTAGGACCTCTTAAATTTCTAGCTCCCAATAAAGCTTGTACCATTCAAATGTTCACTGATCTTTGTTTGGGTGAAATTGAATTCTCTTAATGAATTACTGACAATCAGTTGGTGTTTGGACGTTTTAACCTTGGACCTTTTAATGAAAATTGAAATTGCTTAGCTTGTAATAGTTTAAAATACATGAAATAATATCATTCATTGAAAAGGGGGAGAGGAGGGAGGTAGACTAAATACTAAAAAAAGGGTAGCCCAATGCACTAAGCTTCCGCTATGTGCAGGGTTGGGGGAAGGGTCGGACCACAAAGATTTATTGTACGCAGCCTTACCCTGCATTTCTGCAAGAAACTAGAAACATACAAATAGCCAATACAACACGTCAATGATCTTAAAGTGACAAAATAATTCAATGACTTGGTAAATAAAAATTGTAAGTTGGATGATAATTGAGAAATTAACTCCAGATATGAACACAATGAAGCTGGGCTTGACACTGAAAGTAGCAGTAGTAATTAACATTCTCTATCCCTAAAAGGGACAATAATGACATAGTGTCAAGTGTTAATGTTACTCAGTAAACTAGTGGATTGCAACCAAGATAGCAATTCTTCCAACTCCCAGTTAATGCTGACGAAAAACAACTCGGATGGAAACATCATCTTCTATGTCAGGATTAAAAAAAAAGAGATAACTTTCAAGACACTGTAACGGGCGCTTCACATGCCAAACGACTAAGGAAACAATGCACCAAACTGGAGAGAAAGTAATTGACCAGTACTATATGCTAAAACACCAAAAGAGAAACTATATTATCTCAAATTTACCTATCATTGATGACTATAAAGATCTAATATAGTATTTGTACAAGAACCTATTGAATGATCACTTCTGCTTTACTAGAGATAGCTTGTCCATTTAGTTTCTTTTGGATTGAGTTACGTTGTCTTCCACTGAATGGAACGTCCAAATTGTTCTCCCACTTACTACAACCCAAATAACAGCTGTACCCTCGGGCGAGAAACATTTGCTCAAGAGTTATTGCACTTCTCAGAATATAAAAAACAAATTCAATCTCTGATCCTGTTCCATCAAATCCACAAAATATCACTTCTTTTAGTTCAATGTGACATGTACGAGATAAAGCAGGCCCTCTACTTCCTTCTCCATTCCTCTTTGTCCTTGTTTTTTTTACCTGAGGTCACAATGAGAATGAGACCAACATATTGCTAAATGATCAAGATGACTTGCGTAGTTTAGCAAGCTGCAATACAAGCATTTAACTGAACTAAGAGTAATTTCTAAAGCAAAAACATGGACTGTAAGGAATATACTCAGAGTACATTATTCCTAGTGTAAATATGACTTGATGAGAGTGAAACGATGATATACTAATCATAATATCTCTCTTCATTAATTTATGTGGATGTAGGAAAAAATAGTAGACAAGCCATTTCAAACACTAAGTTTATCAAGAGCACCTTATTTTTTTAGTAAATAGTACTAAAAGAATCGCATCTAAGTTTAATATTTAAAATGTCGGAGGAAGACACCGGTTGGAACCAAAAGTCACTACCAACAAACTATGGGCGGTTCCTGATACTACAAATTGGAAAATGGATTACCTACAAAATTATCCGGTAGGCAGTTTTGAAGAAAACCAGAATGAGATTCCAACAAGCAACAAAGTCAGAAAATAGGTTCACAAATCTGAGTTTGGGACCTTTGGAGATTTACAAGGACCTGTGGGTATTAAGAAGCATGTAATGGGCACATGCAGGCTTCAAAATTAAGAACTGGGGAACAAGGGCTACGGATTGATGGGCAATACACTACCATGAAGGAAATGCGGTACTGTTCGAGAATTCAAGGGGCTGTTTCAAATTTCAAAAATATCTAAAGATAAAACAGGCAAGGAAAAGGCCTGAAATGCGGCCGCACTTTGTTATCTGAAGGCTCAATAGCCTTGTTGAACGGCGGTCCACACAATTTGTGGTGCGACCGCAGATTTTGGCTGCCGACCGCATAATTCGATGTGCGACAGCAAAATGGCCAATTCTCTGACAGACCAAACTTCAGAGAGTTTGCAATTTCCCATCTCAATTTGTGCGGTCCGCACAAGAATTGTGCGGCCGCAATTGCCTTCTGCTATAGCATTTAAAATTGTGCAGTCCACACATTTCATGTGCGGTCCGCACTTTCTCCACACTTAGCCAATTTTTCTGAGCACAGTTCTTGTAAAGCACACTCATTCCTGCAACACACTTCAAATCCAGTTAGTACAAAATAACACCTATCTACAAAAGAATAAAAGAAAAAGAAAAAAGAAAATATGGGTTGCCTCCCAAGAAACGCCTAATTTAATGTTGCGGCACGACGCAGATTACCATCACTTCAAATGAATAACTGCCACCACGTTGTCATCATCAGCTTGTCCCAAACAATGCTTCACCCGGTGACCATTGACTCGGAATACCTCATCATTTTTGTTCTTCAAGTCCAATGCACCAAAAGGTGTCACACCCATAATTTCAAAGGGACCACTCCATTTGGATTTCAGCTTTCCAGAAAACATCTTCAATCGTGAGTTGAACAACAAAACAAGATAGCCCACATTGAATTCCTTGTTTCGGATGTATTTGTCATGAATGTAATTCATTCTCTCTTTGTACAAGGACGAACTTGCATATGCATGGTACCGAAATCCATCAAATTCATTCAAATGTGCAACCCGCAAGTTAGCAGCTGTATCCCAATCAAGATTCAACTTCTTTAAAGCCCACATGGCTTTGTGCTCAAGTTGCACCGGAAGATGACAAGCTTTTCTAAACACCAACCTGTATGGAGATATCCCAATAGGAGTTTTGAAAGCAGTCTGATAGGCCCATAGTGCATCATCAAGCTTCTTTGACCAATCTGTCCGGTTAGCATTTACTGTTTTGGACAAGATACTCTTTATCTCCTGGTTGGAGACTTCCACTTGACCGCTAGATTAAATATGATAGGGAGTCATAACTTTATGAGTGACACCATACTTGCTAAGCAAAGTGTCAAAAGCCTTGTTGCAAAAATACGACCCCCCATCACTTATGATATCCCGCGGAGTACCAAATCTTGTGAAAATATTCTTCTTCAAGAACGCCACCACACTTCTCGCTTCATTGTTGGGTAGAGCAACGGCCTTAACCCATTAAGACACATAATCAACCACGACTAAGATGTAGGTGTTTCCACAAGAACTTATAAAAGGACACATGAAGTCAATACCCCACACATCAAAGATATCGATCTCCAAAATGGTAGCGAGAGGCATTTCATTCTCCTTCGAGATTCCACCGGCCCGTTGGCATTCATCACATCTTTTTACCATATCACTTGCATCTTTGTAGAGAGTGGGACAATAGAAGCCACAACTTAGTACTTTAGCAGCCGTTCTTGCTCTGCCATGGTGACCACCATAAGGCGAAGAATGGAAAGCCTCAAGACTAAAATTTTGCTCTTTATCCGATACACATCTTCTAATTACCCCATCCGTGCAAATCTAGAAGAGGTAAGGCTCATCCTAATAATAGTCTTGATAATCCTGTTTGAGCTTCTTCCTTTGATTTGAAGAGAACTCATCCGGGATGATTCCACATACAAGGAAGTTTGCTAGATCGGCGAACCATGGCACCTACTTCATTGAAATGGCCAAAAGTTGCTCATCGCGGAACGAGTCATTGATTTCAAGGCCATCATGCGGCGTCCCCTCCTCCTCCAAATGAGACAAGTGGTCCGCCACTTGATTTTCACTCCCTTTTCGATCTTGGGTGTCAATATCAAACTCTTACAACAATAGCACCCATCTCATCAATCGAGCTTTTTAATCTTTCTTGCTCATAAGATAGTGAAGTGTCGCATGATCCGTATGAACCATAACCTTTGAACCCATCAAGTATGGGCAGAACTTCTCAATAGCAAACACAATGGCAATGAGCTCTTTTTCGGTAACGGTGTAATTGACTTGAGCATCATTCATGGTCTTACTAGCATAGTAAACCGGACGAAAAATCTTATTGATACATTATCCCAAAATTGCTCCAACCGCTACATCACTAGCATCGCACATGAGCTCAAAAGGAGTACTCCAATTAGGAGCGGTGATGATGGGTGTTGTTGTCAACTTGAACTTGAGCAATTCAAAGGCTCTCATTCAATCATTATTGAAGTGAAATTTAGCATCTTTCTCCAAAGGCTTGCACAAGGGTTCACCACTTTGGAAAAATCTTTTATGAAGCGCCGGTAGAACCCCGCATGACCCAACAAACTTCTCACGCCTTTCACGGATGTTGGAGGTGAAAGTTTAGAAATCACCTCTATTTTCACCTTGTCGACCTCAATGCCCTTCCTTGAAATTTTGTGACCAAGGAAAATGCCCTCCTCGACCATAAAATGGCATTTCTCCCATTTCAACACCAAGTTCGTTTCTTCATACCTTGCTAATACTTTATCCAAATTTGCCAAGCAATCAATAAAGGAATCCCCGACTACTGAAAAGTCATCCATGAAAACTTCAAGGTAGTCATCTACCATATCCGTAAAGATTGCCATCATACACCGTTGAAAAGTGGTCGGTGCATTGCATAAGCCAAATGGCATCCGCTTGAAAGAGAAAGTGCCATAGGGACAAGTGAAAGTTGTTTTCTCTTGATCTTCCGGGGCAATAAGGATTTGGTTGTAGCCCAAATATCCATCTAGAAATCAATAGTAAGCACGGCCGGCTAACCTATCAAGTATTTGGTCAAGAAAGGGGAGCGGAAAATGGTCTTTCCTTGTGATTTTGTTTAGCTTTCGATAGTCCATACACACTCTCCACCCGGTCACCGTTCTTGTGGGAATCAACTCGTTCTTATCATTGGTGACCACAGTTATGCCCCCTTCTTCGGGACACATTGCACTGGAGAAGTCCACGGACTGTCAGAAATGGGATAGACAACCCTGACATCTAA